GTTAGTACATCCTCGATAAATTTAACGTCTCATTAACTGACTGATTATTGAGCAAAAGTAAGTATTCCTTATCAATTTTAGCTGGTTAAAATCTTTTAAAGATGGAAATGGCGCATAGAGTGAAACTTATACTTAGTCTGTAATCGAGTGAATTCAGTCAACTAGATAGATAAGAAACTGACCTACGAGTCCATGAGGGAGATCCGGCCCAAGTCGGATCAACAAATCGAGAGGGAGGAGGGCATATATTAGGTGTGATGACGCCACATCTTTTGAGGAGTGGAATATAAAAAAGTCAGAAGTTTTGTTGGGCAGGGTAGATAGAAGGACCAAGACAGAAAAAGGAGCGATGGCGGAAGTCAAGGGATTGACTTCACTTGTTTCCTAGGTGATCTGTAGCTTTGTGCTGAGAATGGCAAGACTCACTGGCGATGCTGGCTAGATTACTGGTAAAATGCCAAGTTCACGGTCCGACGCTGGGAATTATGATGCCCACTAGCAGTGGATATCGGACAAGATGTGTCCAACTAGGTCGCTTTGATAACACGACTAAATTGCGAGAACGAGGTCAGACCACTGCCAAGATATATGGTTCTTTCAAATGTCCTTCGACAAATCTTGTTAGCAATTTGTAGACATAATTAGTGCTCAGCTCTCTCTTCTTCGTTCCAGGCTTACGTAGAACATCCTGATCTTAGTGACCTACGCTCCAACCGCGAATACGCACTAAAATCCGTCTGTGACGCTGTTACCTCCATTCAAACGGCTACCAGTGGTCTTGGCGAACCATCTTGTACTCTGCTTAAGCCTCCTGGAGAGCTTATAGAGTTACTCAATAATTTCGAGGTAAACACGCGCTTGTAAAATCTTGCTTCAATAAGCTCCTTGATCCCTTTCTTACATATCTAAGTACAAATTGTCTTTTGATTTAGAATAAGGCATTGATTGGGCCCGAACACTATGTTGACGCCCAGCATAGAGCTGCACTATATGATCGCCTCGATGATATTCTGGCCCTGGCTGATCGGATGATACATTCCGAAAGTTGTCGGGCTAAACGGAAACAGGCGATTAAGACAGAAATCACGAAAGTTCAACGTGCCCTTGACACTTTGCTTAACGAATACCAGAGTTCGGTTAGTTTAATCTCCAATTTACATATATTTACATATGCATAATTAATATATTACATTTTTGCTATATCTAGCCTGGGATTATTTTAGGCAGCAGATGCTATTATTCATTATATTTAGATCACTTTTATTTGTTCACCTTCTTGGGCCTGATGATTTTTAAGTAGAGATGTATAAGAAGTGGTTTGACCTTGTTTCCCCAACTTCTTTGTATTGTCAGGGAGGCCTACAGGAACTCATCTTGTCCAGAGTCCATAGTATCCGTAATATTTTCCAGAGTCGGACCGTGAAATTGATACATCCCAAAATCTTTTGCCGGCATCATCAGTGAGCCTTGCCATTATTAGCGCCAGACAACAACTCGTTAAATATATAATTGTAGTCGATCCTTTGATCAACTGTCTGTTGAACAGTATTAAGTTCACGGTACGATTCTGGAAACTATTATACATACTATAGACTCAGCACAAGGTGTGCTCCTCTAGATCTTCTTCGCAATACGACCAAGTTGCAAAAACTAAGCCAAACCACTTCTATACAACGAAAGGAGACAGTGACCATACTAATTGCCACCCCACTTTGGTCTTCATAGCTTCAATTAAAATAGGGGATTTTTAAAGTGTTGCCTGTATTTCAGTATTCCAAGGCGAAGTGCTTTAGTACATGTTAATTTCAACAGAAATTTGATGCTGGGGGACTCGACACTTATTGTTATGGAAATTGCAAAGGTAGATATTCATACCGGTTTCATTAAGCGCTAATTGCTAATCGCCCTTAAATTTCCTTGTGTGTTCATAATTTTATCTGCTTTATGAGCAAAGCAGCCCTTCGTCTCCTGTGGGTCAATTACATGTGTTCTCTCGTCACATGGCGGGTTTGTTAACACACACAAACATTTTAATATTCCTTCATAGTTAGTAGATGTCGAGGCTATCAGTAGAGTGTGAATAGGTGCTGTAGTCTCCCTGGGTCTCAAGGTCACGAAGGATTGATAGTTAAATTTTACCACAATGCTATTAACAGGCATCATGATAATATTGAATTTCATTTAGCCAAAAGATACAATTGTGATACGAGGGATTAGGGCCGTCTCTAAAATAAAGAACGCTTGCATTCTGCAACAAAATACAAAGTTGGATGCCCCAGGATAAATAGAAAAAAGGAAGTCGTTTCACCAAATGTCCTATTTAAATCCAGCTGAATTACAATATAGGACTGACAATAGAAAATCAATCATTGATGGCAGCGAATAATAGAAGGATCCAAACTCCGTTGATCACAGCGGAGCAGAGAAAATGAAGGAAGAAAACGTGACTAACCTTTTCCTGGGTCATTAAACCTTGATGACCAGAGCCTGGAATTATGGTTTTTGATCACTCATTTAGAATCGACATTGCGTATAGACGTTAAACCACACAAACACACACGAGCAAAAGCAGCATGACCAATACGAGAGATAATTACCAAAACCATTCTATATCTATCTATGCTTATTTATTCTAGTTTTTTAGTTATGAGTCTATATAGGAGGTAAGATAGAGCCTTACTTAATGCTAACGTGAGACTTTTACAAGAATGAGTTCTAGTTCTGTTCATCAAATGGTGGACAAAAGCTCGGCTTTTTTTCATCCCAAAAGAGGGAAGATGCCTCGGAAACTGCGCCAACACGAACTTTTTTCGCATATACGTCGTATTAAAGCCAAACTGCTGCATACACCTGGAAGCAGTGGTTGAATTATGGTGAGATCAACCTAACTTTACACTAAATTGAGTTTTCCCCAAAAAATGTGACCAACCTAGACTTTATGTTATCTGAAGATATGCAGACCAAGATAGTGTGGTCCTTAGTAGGGTCGCAGTATATTAGCTGCTTGATATACCCTTGCGTGGTTTTGCATGTCCATTTCTAATTGGACGATGCAATGCTAAGCTCTGATTGGCTGACGTAAAATAGAATGAGGATTAGTGATACTCTCACGTGATTTCTGTGTAAAAAAATGCTGAGCCATAGCTACGCACATGAAAAGTGTCAGGATAAGTTACTACAATACTGCACACTACCACTGGAATCAGTGATTAACAAGGCACGTGACCTCTGAAGCCAACCAGGCCTTTAGTATGAGATCTCATTCCTTTTGAAAAGAAAAGCGAAGTGAAATTCATTGGCATCATGGGACCTACTCATTTCATTGTGAGAAAATTCAACTACCAATCTATAATCATAGCTCCTATTCAAGACCTACTGATAGTCCTGAAACACGTAATTTGAATATAAGCCAGCAGTTTCCCATATCACATTTATGAACGGATTTTCGATGAGACACTTTTATTCTGATATGAGAGCTGTATTCATACTATTTCATTTAAGGTGATGAACGACTGGTAGGCGAAAATTCTCACGGATCTGAATAGGCCTTACGCTTCCATTTAATGTAATATAGCCTTGCCTCCCAAAAACTATTCCTATCCAGGATGGATTGCAGTTTCGACCTCACCTAAGTCTCTTTAGCCTCTTTGGCGGAACTCGAACCGTGATAGTGCAGCATATAACCTAGACAGGCTAACCACTATGCCAAACTATCACGCGTGCCATTCGGTCACATGGCAAATGTTAATTTCAAGGAATATGAGGCATTTTCTTATACCACATTCTATGATGAGCTTGTCGGTTATTATAGTAATCGACTACATTAATTATTTTTCGCTTCATAAGTAGGTTTTTTGAGACTAACAGTAGATATAAGAGCTGTATTTATCGTATTTCGTTGATTGAGGAACCTACTTATCGAACGAAAAAAAGTAATCTAGTCGATTACTGTAGCAATCCACGATCGCACCACAGAATGTGATACGGGAAAATGC